TAATCGCAAGCAGAGTAGCAAAATTGGGTTAAAGGGTTAGAATAGAAATTGTGCTTCAGTAATTTTGCGTTAATTGCGTAAAATTATTTTAACGCGTTAAGGATTGTAAAATTAATTGCATGCGTTAACACGTTAACGATGACAGCCCTAATAAATACACACACGTACAGTATATATTTTGAAAATATTTCCATGTATTTCTATGTATATATTTATATTAATATAATTGATATTATATATAAATATTTTTAATGTATAAACATAACATTTTTCTTAAATATATACTTGCATGTGTGTATTTATATATATATATATATATATATATAATAAATATGCACAGTACACACACAAATATTATGTAAACAAAAACTTTTATTTTGGATGCGATTAATCATTTGACAGCACTAATAAAAACAAGCATTTAAGCATTTAAAAAGCATTTAAATTGAAAGAATAGAATAGAATATACAAAGCATTTAAACTAAGATATGTTAAGCTAAATATTAAAAGAAAAAAATCATGAATCTATAAATCTATAGCGCGCCAACTCTATAGCTGTTTGCCCGAGCATTGCAATTATTTCGCATTTACTTAACAAATGGTTTTCCCAACTCCTTTTTGTGCGTGTCCTGTGCGCGGAAAATTATTCCTTCTTCGTGGTAGCGACATAAGAAGTGCGCAACCACACACATGTGCAGCTTAGGGGGGAACATTGCCCACATATTTTCAGAGAACTTTTGTGGTGTTTTTTGCCATTGTGACAACTCGTGGTCACCATTTACTTTCGTTGTATGGAAAAGAGCAGCTTAAACATTCTGCTAAATATCTCCTTTTGTGTTCCACAGAAGAAAGTCATATGGTTTGTAACATGAGGGTGAGTAAATAATGACAGGATTTTTATATCTTTTGGGTGAACTATGTCTTTAAGTTAATATTAACTCTAGAGCTCAAGATTAAGGGGAGTTGTAGGAAATTAGTAAATTTTTATCTCTCCTGATGCCAAGCATGTTTGCTGGTTTTACTCAACAGCCCCACCCATCAGCCTCACACGGGTTTGTAAACTAACGTAGCGTCATTTGCCAAGATCTCAGCCTCACACGGGTTTGTAAACTAACGTCATTAGTGTCATTTGCCTCTCTCTCTCTCTCTCTCTCTCTCTCTGTAAGAGCTTGACTGCTCTTAATCCAGGTTGTAGCTGTCACTGAAATTTGATATGCTGTTCGCTCAGTCAGCAGTGTACTGGCTTCATGCCACACACATGCCCGCACACACATGCTTTCGCTGTCTTGTTTGTCTTTCATTCGAATGCTCACTTATTTGAGTTTTATATGAAACAGCCTTCAGGCCACTTGGAGGTCGTTGGTGCCCTTTTTAATCCATGGAAGAAGAATGAGCTGTAGAAAGAAGAAGAAAAGAAACCAAAATAAGAAAACACATGAGCCCTTTTTCTGTTTCTTGGAATCACTTTTACCATGAACTAGGGTGTGGGTGTGATAAACTACCTTGATTTCCTAGGCTATGATCTCTCAGTTTTTCCTGGTGAGTCATGCTGCACTTTAAAAATACAGTATTTTTGGCCTGTGTGAAATTGTATATCTGTATTTTTATCCTTTTGACCATACAGTATTCAGTTTGTATTTTTGTATTTGTTCTGAAATGGCTTAAAAAGGTGAGTGTGATTGTTATTTGAACTACTAATACATTAAAAACAGTAATTTTGTGAAGTATTATTACATTTTAAAAATAAGATTTCTATTTTAATATAATATAAATTGTAATTTAATCCTGTGATGGCAAAGCTGAATTTTCATTATCATTACTCCAGTCTTTCATGTCACATGGTCCTTCATAAATCTTTCTAATATGCTGATTCTGTGCTCAAGAAACATTTCTTATTATTATCAATGTTGAAAACAGTTGTGCTGCTTAATATTTTTGTGGAAAGTGAACTGGAAATCTGCCAAACTTTTGAAAGGTAGTGTATAGACAAGTTTTTTTTCAGTTGTTATATTATGTTTCCATTCAAATAAATATCCTTGTGCCTCTGGACTGTCACTCTGCCCCACAAACACACTGGTCAGCCGCCCACTCCGCTGATGGCACGCTGCTCGACCTCCTCTTCGTCCCGAGGGTTTAAAGTTCCGCTTTTGGCATCAGCGATGCCACAGCAGTTAACATGATCAGAACTCTGGGAATTCAGAATTCAGTTTCTCAGAATTTCATTTCAGAGAGTTTTGATTACTCAAGCTAAGTGGAATAAAATTTTATTTGCTATGCTTACTCCAACTTTTCACATGGATAGGAATTGCAACTCTAGGGCGGTTGCATGAACAGACTGTCTTTGTCTTACTGATGTCTGAAATCGGGCCATTCAGAGCATTCCCTGACACATGGAGGCCAGACCAGCCGTATTTTGGTTTATGCCGTTCACTTCCCTCAGGAGCTTTTGTCAGTTTGCGGGAGGTGTTGGCTGTCCTCCAAGCTCAAAAAATGGCCTAACTGGTTAATAATGTTGCTGATGGAACATTCTCCTCATGGACTCTTGAATATGCATTAATTAAATGTCATGGGAAAAATTAGGATTGACAGATTGTTTTCCTACTGTGCAGTTGCTTTGGTGTCCAAATTTCTGTTCCTTAGGGTTAAAACAATATTGGTTTGTTGGGTGTCACGTAATCAAATTAATTTGTGTGTGTATATACAAACAACACTAAAAGACTGTTTTTAAAGACAACAAAGATTCTTGGGATGCAGCCAGAGCCATTTTTTATAGATTATGAAATTTGTGTCTGACCTTATGAAAAACTTTCAGGCACGTAAGAAGGTCGCAAAAGAATGAAGCTCATTGGTTTTTGATGTTATAAGTCTGCCACAAAATGCTCTAGAATGTAGCATGTGTCCTTCGCAGATGCTCTTCTAGTGTTAATGACTGTATAACATTATGTCTACTTACAGCTCTCTGTTGTCTTTGTTGCAGGCTCTGTGTTGGATGTTATAAAGCACATCATTTCAAAGGGGGAGCACAAGAACGGTGTACTGGATGAACCTAGTATAGCTACTGTGCTGAAAGAGGTCCTTCAGGGTCTTGAGTACCTTCACAAAAATGGACAGATCCACAGGTAATGCACTTTTGGAAAAGTTTTGGAACACTGGACCTAAAAATGTAACTTGTCATTATTTATTTGTTCTAAACCCGAATGCTGTTTTCTGTTTAACACAAAACGAGAATTTAGAAGCATATTTACACAGCTCCCTTTTTAATAGTAACTAGGGCTAGACGATAAAACGATAACAATAATTATCGTGATATAGTTTTCTTAAAAAAACAATAATAAATTTGATAAATGTTCAATATAATGTTTATGCACCAAAAGAGGAATGAAACAGCGCTACTAGGGCTGGACGATTTTTCAGATTTTATCGATTAATTCGAATTTAATGTTTTGCCGCGATTTTATTTTTTATAAATCGAGGAATCACGATTTTCAATAGAAATGTTACCAATCGTTAGAATTAGACAGTTTGACAATATGCCGGTGATAACAGTAAAGAGAAAAGAACGATCCAACCACATGTCGTCGCACGTGATTAACCGCTCATGTGTGACGCGCTCAGTTAAGGACTGTACGTAGAATATATCACTAGGCGCCATTCATACAGAATGCGCTTTCGTGTTGACAAAGACGAAATAGGAATAGGAAAAAAATGCAAGAAGATGGGAGTGAACTTCTTTTAACTTAAGCGCCGCGTTTTTAGAATGCCGTTTCATGCATGAGACGCTATACATATAGTATGTATAAGACAAGTTTGCACAAGATACACAAGATAACACAAATTTGTACAATTACTTGAAGTTCATGCATCTTTTCTGCAAAAATATTTAACAAGTGATTTGTTTAACATTTACATCATGTTGACATCTTCATGTGTGGTGCACTTGGAATAGAATTTTCTTTAACTAGAGGGTTAATAAGGAAAAAGTTACTTGAATCATGTTGTAGTTACATTTTCAAGTTGACTAGTTAAAAATCATATAAAAATCGAGAATCGGTCAAACGTTCTGAAAAGCCCAGCCCTAAGCGCTACTCGTTTAAAGCGTGCCACATGGACCGTTTATCCACTCGGATTCACTGTAGTAACACTAAATGCGCCACAGTATTGTGGCAGAAATGTGGGATAATCATGATAATTACATTATTAATGTAGTCATGTAGTAAATGTATCAAAGGAGTAATGGAATATAAATACAGTATTTGTCTTGTGATTAGGCTGTAGCATTTGTGCATTTATAATAGATGTATTTATACAGTTTTTCATACAAATATGTATAAACCATATAAACCAGTTAGAATCATTGTATGATTGAAGAATCATTCAGTCCAATTTGTGAACCAAGTCAGTCAACTTATTCGTTGAAAAGAACTGGCTTGAAAGAACGATTCAGTTACAAATTGGACTTGAGGTACTTGTCTTGGACTCAGACTTGGACTCTTACTCAGACTCATACTGTAATTATGAATTAACTTAAATGCGCTCGGGTAGATTTGTACTCAAACTTGACACAGACTCAGACATTTTGGACAGTTTAATCCACATTATGTAGAACATGAAAGACAAAAAAAGTAACAACATAAAATTAAAATAACAAGACATTAATAAACATCTCCACTCAAACTCAGTTGGTTAAGGCCTCGGATTCGACAAGATTGACTCTGACCCAACATTATAAATCTGGTTCTTAATCACTCAAATTACATGGGTGTTTTAGGCACAGCTTACTGGATGGGGAAGATTTTAATGGAATAATGGCTTAAATTTTGGCCTGTTTTTCATGCAAAGCGCATTGTATGACTTAAGATTGGAATATAGAGCAAAAGTTTATATGGACTGCTTTTATTATACTTTATGGTGCTGTATAGACTTTTGTTGTATGTTGATAATCGGTGTTGGAAAAACAAATCTTTAGTGTTCTACAGGAAAACAAACCACTTGCAGATTTGAAATGACATGAGTGTGTAAATGATGCAATTTTCATTTTTAAATGAACTATCCCTTTAAGACTGGACTGGTTTCAACACAAAGGAGGTTTGCAGGATGCCTGTGGACCGAGACTCCATTTAAATCAGCTTAATCTCAGGCAATGAATGATGGAATTAATGCATTACGTTTCAGAATCAAGGTCTGCTTGGGTTTCCAGTGGAAATCCATGGAAAAACTGAGTGAGCCGTCCAATCTAATTCGTACCCTTCAGTCTTTTATCATTAAATCTTTAAATCATACAAATCTCAGTTGATGTAGGCTGAGCGTATACAACCGTTTCATTGGCAGTCTTTTTGTAAGCTCATCAAAGATTCCTTTGCTAGTTTATGTGAGACATTCATCTTCAGACTTCAATACTGACTTTGCGGTGATGACTCACTGATGGCTAATTTAAATCATGTGTCTGTTTCTCTCTCTGCCTTTTTATATTAATTGCTTTCTTCTCATATCCCTTGTTGCCTCTACACACGCTTGGGCCTGTTAAAGCAGACAGTGTAAATAATTCACAGGCTTTTAGTCTGGTTAAGTACCCATGACTTGCAAGCTTGACTCTGAATCTCAATGAAGGAGACCTTGTCTTTTTGCTTCTGCTGCTCCGCTAGTGTGACGGGAGGTAATTTTTGACTTATTAGAAGCCTTTGAGTGTTATTTTTAGATGTCTGACAAAAATGTACAAACAAATTTAGTTAATTGCTTTTAGACACAGTTTTTGGAAGATGGACCGAGTTTTATCATCATAGCCAGATTTTTGTTCTGTGTTGACGTTTAAATGTTAAAGGGGTCATATGATGCGATTTCAATTGTTCCTTTCTCTTTGGAGTGTTACAAGCTCTTGGTGTATAAAGAAGATCTGTAAAGTTGCAAAGACTAAAGTCTCAAATCCAAAGAGATATTCTTTATAAAAGTTAAGAGTCAACCACGCCTTGTACAGTATGTGGAAAATAATGTGTTTTTTGAACCTTAAACCGCATAAACACATTTCATTACACCAAATACACAAAATAATGTTCTTTTTAGCAACATCATATGACGCCTTTAAAAAAATTAAAGTAAGATGGGACATACACACATAGACTATCTGTAGACTATCATTAAAACATAAAACAATTACATTTAATATTTCAGATTTTATATATATATATACTGTATACATATATATACTTATTTACTTATTTATTTACTTTGTGTGTGTGTATATATAAAATCTGAAATATTTAAAAAAGTTTGTATGATAGTCTATAACAATGTAATATCTTAAAATATGAAAAATATTTATTCAGTATTTATGATATTTACTTAATATTTATTCATTAGATAGATAGATAGATATTTTGTTTTTTCAGTATGTTTTAAAATATTTATAGTTTCATGTTTATATGTGTGTATATCACACACTGAATAATATAAATACAATTATTTTTATTGTATTATTTATATATTGTTCTAATAAAATATGAAGTATATTTATTCAATATTATTTATTTTTTATTTTTGAGAAAGATAGGTAGATTCATATTAATGCAAATTATCAATCACTGTTTTTGGTTTGTTTTTCCACAAAAGAAAGACTGTAAACAAATATCAGCTTTAAGTTTACTTTATGTAACTTTTGAGAAAACATTATCATATAACACTAAAAGCTTGAGCTAAAATCCACAAAAGTCTTTAGACTTTAAGCATGTGTCAGGCGTGCAATCTGAATCATATGAGAGAAAAGTGAAGAGGGGTTGTTCGCATGTGCAGCAAGGAGGGAGTCGCACATGATCCTCCACATCGCTCGAGGATGCAATTAGACACTGTGTCTTAAGACTGGCATGAAGTCAGTTGTCAAAAGGGAGTGAAGCAGCAGAACTCTTCATCATCTTCACCGTCCCGTGAAGTCCAGCAGATGGGCGTAAAAATCACTCTCTGCCTCGAGTCTTTCACCCTCGCCCCAGTTTAAGAACAGTCTGTTTGTCAATGTAAAGCTTTGAGCTTGTTTCTGCTCTGGTATGATGGGACTCAAATGGACTCTTTGGGTCTGTCCTCACACTGAGGCTCTCTTTGTTATGGGTGTCAGCTGGGGAAACCAGAACACCCTGTCATGGCTCCCACAGAGGCTGACATCATTGCTCGGGCTGTAAGTGATCTGTATGGCTTAGATCTCAGGAAACCGTTCTGCTTTTGTTCTGACATTCTTCGGATTGCCTAGTACCATCTGGGTTTTATATGGTGGTGATGCAGTTGCATTCTGGAAAGTTTTAGAATACCTAATCCGTGGAGTATAATTAGCAGTGTCCTGTTTGACTTGAGAGATCTACTCATGTCGGGGTGTTTCATCCACTATGGGCACTTTTGACTGTCTTGACTTTTATATATATATATATATTTTTTTTATTAATCAGATTAACTCACATGAAGGTGATTCTTCAATATATATATATATATTAGTGCTGGGCAAGTTGACACGTTATTATCGCGTTAACGCATTAATTGCTCTGAATACACAGGAGGGGTGGGATGGGTGTCATCACGCGTCTCAACCAATGAGAGTATTTGGGGAGGGCCTAAGACTGCAGGAGTGCTCACATGGACGCTCCTGATAAAATTATTTAGGCTAAGCATCGACATTCACAAACCACTGTTCACTATTATTTTTAACAGAAAAGAATGCAACGAGCTCGTAATCACGACTTCATAAGTGGGAAATAGGAAGTTCCTGATAGCACATGAAGACAGCAGAGAAGCGCTCACAAATGTTCACGCAATCATGTTGCACACGTATCAGAAGATCTGCGCTCCGGCGCGGTTAGCGCTCCGCTCACACTACATGCGTACCACACCCGAGCCCAACTGAACCGCACTCTGGCCCACCTCTTCCAACCGAGCCAGGGACGGCTAAACGAAAGCACGGAGCGCTCGGGCACGGTTAAGATTGCCTAGTGTGAGTACACCCTAATTATTCTCCCGCATCCCGCACACACGAGTCTCTACCCGCCCGCACCCGCACTCGCCCATCAAGTGTTGTCAAGTG